GGACTCCCGCAGTGCACAGGGGTCTCAGACCAGACCCAGGAGGAGCCAGGTGAGAGCTGCGCAGGGGGCAGACACCATCACAGCTTCAAGTGTAGACAGACCCTGGCCCAGCGGCACAGAGCAGGGCAGTGGGCAGCACCTTGCAGTGTGCCCAGGGAGCCACCACGGGCAGCCTCCCCAGGCCGAGGGCTCTCCCAGGTGGGAGCGTGCCAGGCCCCACACCCCAGCCCGAGGCACAGACCCCCGGGGCATGGGGCCTGAGAAGGCAGGACTGAGCTCAGACTAACAACCCCCAAGGGACTTGGAGGAGCCCCCCCACGACCACCAGGGCAGGCCTGCTGGCAACTGAGCCTCAGCCAGATATTCCCAGAGTACCAGCTCTTGCTGAGCAAATAGAAGTCAGCCCCTGAGGCCACCCTGCCATAGCCAAGCCTGGGGGACTCAGAACAACCAACCCCACAGGAAAGTTCTGGGACCTTCTTAGTGCGTCACACCCAGGCTCGGCCGTCAAGGCTCCTCCCACTCAGGGTCTCTCTGCCCCAGCCTCCCGGGACCCGTGACCGTGAGACCCGTAGACACACAGCTGGCCCGGGTGCTGCTGTCGCCTGGAGCCTTCATGTGGCAGTGGGCACAGAGGGCCTCTGGGCCAGAGACCAGGGCAGCAGGGGCCCGGGGGCTGCCACTGTCCCAGCTCGTGAGCAAAGCATAGGACCGCGAACCTCTTGGGGGCCCCCGACTCGAGGGAGGCCCATGGAGGGTGGGGGCATCCGTGGTGTCCTGTTCCTTTTCTGGGGCCTCCGTGGCAGCAGTCCCGAGGGACATTGTCCAATGAGCCCAGTTGTACAGAGGGCAACAAGGTGACCGGGCTCCAGTCCCTTGTCATGGAAACTTCTCGGCTGCTCTGTGATCTGCGGCAGCTCCAGTTCCCGCCCGGCGCAGCTGAGGGCAGTGTGCGTTGTATCTTGCGTGTGTGTGTGCGGAAGGGAGCCTGAGGGGCTCCCACGTCCCCCAGCCCCACAGAGGAGGTTGTGTCTACTCAGGAGCCCTGGATCTTCAGCAGGCACACAGCCCAAGGAAGTGCCACGCTGACAGCAGCAGGTGAGCAGGGCTGAGGGCAGTGTGCGTTGCATCCTGCGTGTGTGTGTGTGTGTGCGCAAGGGAGCCTGCAGGGCCCCCACGTCCCCCAGCCCCACAGAGGAGTCTGGGCTGCCCTTGGGGGATACGGGATGAACCAGGAGCAGGTGCAGCTTTGGCCCAGGAGCTGGCTGAGTCCTGAGGGACAGGGAGGGAACAGGCGGCACCTCGGCCAGCCCCATCTTGCAGTGGGGCAGGAGTGCCCAGGCGGGGCCAGGCCAGACCTCTGTCACTGCAGGAAGCAGACACAGCCCCTGGGGAGACGTCGGGCTTGGCCAGATCTTGACCCAGGAGGAGTGGGCAGGAGTTACGGGTCCTGAGCCTGTCCAGGGGCTTGTTCCCTGGGGAGGATGCAGCCGTGGGCTCCACATGGGGTCCCGGAGAGAGCTCCCCCCCTCAAACCTGGCCAAGTGGCGGTGACACTGTGCAGGCTCTGCCAGGGCTATTTTCCACCCTTTATCACCAGCGGCCAGCGCTCAGGTTACGCTGGCTCTGCCAGGAGCACCCCATCACTGCATGTGTCTGGGGAGGCCTGAGCCCCCAGCCCGCAGGGCTGCATGGGGAGGGGAAAGCCCTCAGGCCCCTCCCTGCCCGTGCAAAGCCTGTGCCCCAGCACAGGTGCCCACCTCCTCACGGCACCCGAGAAGGCTGAGACCCGGGGACCAGGAGACCCCAACACGCAGAGCCATGCGAGGCCCCTAGCCCAGCACACCAAGCCCTGCTGTCCACAGGCAGGCACCACACCTGTGCACACATACACTAACGGGGCACCATGAAGACCAAACCTAGGGCAGCGGAGGACAGCCCCGGGACCGCCACGCGTGTCCCCGTACCACAGGTTGCATGTCTTGTATGTTCTGGACACTGCTGCTCATCGCAGACCCGGCTTCCAGCACATGAGCACGTCGGGCCCAGCCTGCAGCCCCAAGCCCTGGTCCCGGATGCCCCAGCAGGCCAGGGGGCATGGAGAGAATCCACGGAGCCCCGACATCCACGGCAGACAGGGTAAGGCGGACCCAGGCACCCTGCAGCAGAGCTTTCAGGAGGGGGCCCGGGACAGGGACAGCTGCTCCCCTAAGGGTCTGGTCCGGCCAGGTGGACAAGACCCCTGGTAAGGCTGAAGGTGGAGGGGCCCAAGGAGCAGGGAGGGCTGGACAAGGCCAGCTGAGTGGCTCAGGGAGGGGGAAGGCAGAGCTGGACAGCAGACAGGGGCTGCAAGCAAACAGCGCCCAGGCCTCAGACCCCAAGTTCACTGCCAGGGCAGGCCCTACCGTCCATGTCACAAGCTCAGAGGAACCGGGAACATGGCAGGGTCGTCTCCCAGACTCAGGGCCAGAGGGAGACCCTAGCTGTGTAGGAGGGCGCCCCAGGGGTGCAACCAGAAAAGCCCTCCCACGGGGAACATGGCCAGAGATGAAGGACATGAGTCCCTACTGGCCAGAGGAACCCTAGAGCCCCAACCGGCTGGCCACCGCCCTCCCTCAGCCCTCACACCCACCCCCTTCCCCATAGCAGGTGTCTCCACGCAGAGCCCAGAGGAGCCCCAGGGCTCTGAGCCCATCTGCACCCAGCCCCCAGCAGCAGCCCCCCTCCATCCTGCGGAGGAGCTCTGAGCACAGGCCCCAGGGGGCTGAGCCCAAGGCGAGAGCGAGGCGCGTGCGCTTCCGGGAGCCGCTGGAGGCAGCCGTGCACTGTAAGAGGGCACAGGGTGAGGCAGAGCCGGCGGGGCGGGGAGCTCCAGGGAAAGGGGTCCCCAGTCGCTGACCTCGGGTCCTCTGAGGGCCCTTGGGAGGTGGAGGGGGCTGAGCCCCCAGTCACTCTGTCTCCTCCCTAGACATTGCTGGCAGGGACACCGTGGCAACCACAGGCAAGTGTGATTCCCCGGGGACCTGGGCTCCGCCTCACCCTCAAGAGTCTGGTCTGGTCCAGACCTCCCCTGGGACCAGGGTCCCTCTGAGAACTGGGGTGGCTGGGATGTGTGTCCCCGTGAACCACAGACTCGGGCCAGGACCCACCCTGGCAGGCGGGGGGTGGGGACAGCTGGGGACTCCCCCACTGCCTGCCCAGCTGTCCACTCGGGGGCTGACCCTGTCCTCTCTCCCCAGTGCCCACACCTCGCGGCCGCCTGTCCCTGCTGTCACTGTCCCTGTGTGTCTTGCTCGTGGCGACGCTGGGCCTGTGCTGCAGCCGGCCCACACCCATGGTCACGGCCCTGGAGGAGCTCCGGGCCCGGCTTCTGGTCCTGGCCAGGCACCTGCGGCATGCCGCCCTCGTGTGCTGGCACTGCCTCCTGCAGCTCTGACGCAGCCCTGAGCAGGCAAGACTGGAGGGATGGAGCGCCCAGGGCTGGCGCATGGCAAGCAGGGTACTGGGCTGCAGCTGGCAAGGCTGCCCGGGGGCGGGGCCGTGGGCTTGAGAACGGACATGGGAAGGGCCCTGCAGCCTGGCCTGCTTCACAGAGGGACTCCACAGTGAGGTCAGAGAATCCAAGCAATCACTCCACTGGCCCCTGGCACACCCTGTGGACACCTCACCTGCTCAGCCCAGCCGGGGCCTCCCTGGGGACAGCCCCTTGTGGCGGGGACCCCTCCTGGCCTCTGCAGATCTCCGGGGCAGCCAAGCCCAGCCGCAGGCTGCTCTGGGCCTCAGGGAGAGAAGGCTTACTGGGCCTCCATCTGAGCCTGCACCCACCCACCCCCCCCCCAGCGACTAGGGAAGCTCCCAGGGTGGGGAACCCTGGAGGACAGCTACGAGGGAATGGGAGGCTGAAGGGGCTAGCGGGGGTAAGAGCCGCAGCAGCATCGGCAATGGATGGGGCTCCGCCAGCTGAGGGCAGATGGCAGCGGCCTCTCCAGATCCTGCATGGACAGGGTTGCTGAACACGCACGGAGGCCACAGTGGACAGCAGGAGGGGCCCGCATCCAGGGAGATGTTCCCCAGCCCAGGGACCATAGATGGGCGGGAGACACACAGGGCCCCTCACGCCCAGGCACTGCTGCTCACCGGCCACCTCATACCTACCCCCTCCCCAGCTTCCCTCCTGGACCTCCTCAGAGCACATGCACCCAGCTCCTTGGGATGCCCTGAGGCCCCCATCGAGTCCTACCTGAGCCCCCTACCCCGACTCTGCAGCCAGGGTCCCCTCCCCAGGTCTTGCTGGACCAGGGCTGTGCCTAGAGGGATCCACAGGGGTCCCGGGAACCCCAAGCCAGCATTGCTGCCAGACACAAGCTCAGGCTCCTGGGTGTGGCATAGGGAACAGGGCCTACAGGCCCAACCCAGGCTGCAGGGGTTAATCATCTCCTTCACCCCAGAGGCAGCCAGGGGGATCTTGCTCCCCCCATGGCAGCTGCAGCTCCAGAGGCTGCAGAGCAAGCAGAGAGAATCAGGACAGAACCAGGTGTGGGTGTCTTTATTGAGAACCCAGCCGACAGGCATGCCGTCCTTGACCACCTCCTGTCCCACCCCCACCTGGATCCTCCTTGACAGGTAGGGGAGAGGGATCCTGCATGGGAGAAGCCACACCCCTTTCCATGGTATAGACCAATCCCCTGCCCCCCCACCAGGGCCTGCTGCTCAGGAGGAAACTCAGCCAGGCCCTGGACCAGAGCACACTGTCCTTGCCTTAACTGTCCCTTGGACAGGCACCTGCCACACAGCCTCCCCATAAGACCCTGCCAGGTCCACAGCTCCGGGAGACTCCTGCTGCCTGGGCCCAGCTTCCGACAGCTGGGAGGGCCTGCCGGGGCAGGCCGGGGAGGCTATAAAATGGACAGGAAGATGAGGAGAGGGGCCTAGTCTCCCATGGGGGGTGGGGGTACACGCCAAGCAACCCTGGGTTGGTATGTAGGGGTGCAGCGGGAGCCCCAGGGGCCGCCCACACTGCAGGCCTAGATGACGGCACTTCTGTCCCCCTGGAAGGCAGTGCGAGCGGCTGGCCTGGCCAGCAGCAGCTCCTTCTCATGGCCCAGGCTGCCCAGCAGGTCCTCCTGGCGGTAACTGTGGTAGACCTTCAGGAAGGCCAGCACGGCCACGGCCAGCCAGGCCAGCCACGAGGCCCAGAGCCCGAACTGCAGAGAGGAGAGCAGTGTCAGTGCCATGGCGGGCCCCTGACCAACCCAGCCCATGGGAAAGCACGGGACAGAGTGGCAGCACCCAGGGACCCAGGCAGCCAGAACACTTTCAGGGAGCCCCTAGAACCTCTCCCCTCCGGCTCCCCCAGAACCTTTGGCTGTGGGAAGTGTCCCTAGCCCTCAGAGGCCTTCAGAGCCTGGGCTGGCAACTGGGAACCCCCTGGCCTGGAGCACAGGTATGGAGGTGGGACCAAATGGCCCCACCTTGGTCCTCACTGAGTGCCTCTGGCTGTCCTTGCCCCAGCCACCGGGGCCACCAGAGGGTGACTGGCGGGTGCAGTGGGGCTGACCTGTCCTTCAGTGTAGGTGACCTGGGAACCCACCCGAGCAAGCTGACCTGGTACCAAGATCAGAGGCCAACTTGGAGAACCCAGGACCCCCTGCCTGGCTTTGGCTGTGGTACCTTGGCCCCCACATGCTGCCCTGTCCCTTCTCCTGCCCCCAAAACCCCTCTGGGCACTGAAGGCCCAGCACCCCTCCTCCAGGGAGCCTGCCCCATGCCTATACTGTTTCATCCCCTGGGACTGCCTGGCGAGCACCCTGAGGGGAGTGTCCCCAGCCACCCCTCCCACCCCTGCCGTCCCCAGGTCCCACCCACCTGGGCAATGGCGAGCTGGTCGTAGAAGGCCGAGTTGTCCACGTTCAGCTCAAGATCCACATCCTGGAGGGCCTCGCAGCTGGAAAGCCGGCCAACAGGAAGGGGACCGAGCAGAAACCACCTTCACCACCCCAGCTTCCAGGCCCACTTCCTGCCACCTCCCACGTCCACCCCTCCAGGACCCAGGCCCAGCCACCACGTTCACCCCTCCAGGACCCAGGACCAGCCACCGCGTTCACCCCTCCAGGACCCAAGCCCAGCCACCACGTCCACCCCTGCAGGACCCAGGCCCAGCCACCTCCCACATCCACCCCTCCAGGACCCAGGACCAGCCACCGCGTCCACCCCTCCAGGACCCAAGCCCAGCCACCACGTCCACCCCTGCAGGACCCAGGCCCAGCCACCTCCCACATCCACCCCTCCAGGACCCAGGACCAGCCACCGCGTCCACCCCTCCAGGACCCAAGCCCAGCCACCATGTCCACCCCTGCAGGACCCAGGCCCAGCCACCTCCCACATCCACCCCTCCAGGACCCAGGCCCAGCCACCGTGTCCACCCCTCCAGGACTCAGGCCCAACCACCTGCCACATCCACCCCTGCAGGACCCAGGCCCAGCCACCGCATCCACCCCTCCAGGACCCAGGTCCAGTCACCACGTCCACCCCTCCAGGACCCAGGCCCAGCCACGGCGTCCACCCCTCCAGGACCCAGCCCCAGCCACCTGCCACATCCACCCCTCCAGGACCCAGGCCCAGCCACCGTGTTCATAACGCACCAGCTGTCCCTCCCTAGGGTGGGACAGTGGCATGGTGTTGGGCTGGGCAGACAGAAGCCCACGGGTGCACACAGGTCGGGGGTCGCACCTGTGGGGCTGGGTGCCTTTCTCAGTGATGGCGTCACACCACATGGAGAAGCCGACGCTGACAATGGTGCCAGCAATGAAGACCAGGAAGACCACGAACGCGCTGACCAAGAGGCTCAGGGAGGCCTGGAGCAGGGAGCTGCAAGAGCAGAGGGGACAGGTATGACCCATGTCCCTGCTTGATAGCCTACCCCACGTCTCTCCATGGCCTCAGGCAGGACCCCCCAGTCCTCAGTGGTAAAACCAGCCCCTCTGCTCTCCACCCACACATGCCCCATGTCCCACGTGCACCTCCTTCCTGCTTCTGCAATCGGGGAGAGTAGAGGGCCCAGCGGCTGCTTCCTTGCCCGCCACAGCCCGAGCCCACCAGGCCTCCCCAGGCCTCCCTGCCGCTGAGCTCCAGCCCAGTTCAGGGCTGACCCTGGGGGCCCAGGGACAGTCAAGTCTCCCTTAGGGAGGGACAGCAGGCTGCAGGAGAAGGGGACCCATGTCCCACTCTGCTCCATGGTGGGATGGCCAGGAAAGCAGGGACTGGCACAGTCCCTGGGGACATCCTGGGGTGGTCTCCTGGGGCAGCAGAGCCCATGGGCACCTGGCCTCGCTCTGCTGCCTCCCCCACGGGCCTCTGGGGGCTGGGCAGAGCCAGGCCAGAGCAGATGGCAGCAGGGGCCTTGGCCGGTCCTGACTTCCAGAAGGCATGGCCCCCAGCCACACAGGCTTTCTTCGCTGTGGCTCTCCCCTTTTCCTGGGCCAGGGTCTCCTGGCAACCCTCCACTGAGGCTGCTGACAGCGTGGGTGCCATGCGGAGCCCACAGCCTCCTTCCCGTCCCCTCACCCAGCTGTGAAGAAACAAACGTGTTCAAAGCCTCTCCAGGGTCACAAAGCCAGGCCAAGACCGTGGCACCGGCACACACGGGGTTAACTCATCTTTCTCCCTTGCTTCTGCACCAGGATGTGCTGTCTCCATGGAGACGGGATCCTGCCGAGCTGAGTGATGGTGTGGGCAGGCAGACGGCCTGTCAATCACAGGCACTCACGGGGCACTGCCCTCCTGCTGCAGCCCACCCATCCATCCTGCACCAGCCAGCTCCCTGGAGGCCAGCTCCAGGGCCGACACCCTACAGAGGCACCCACAGGCTCCTTAACCCTCCAGCCCACTAGGCACTGCAGACACCCCTGGGCGGGGGCAGCCAGCCAGAAGCTCAGGACCCAGCCCCCCTTGGGCAGAGTGAAGCCCCCAGGCAGCTACTGGGGAGGTCTCTGAAGTGCACTAACCCCAGCCAGCCCACGGGGGCCCTGGTGGGCTGGGGTCTCCCCAGGAGCTCCCCAGAGATGCCCATCAGGCCGCTCCGCCATTCCCAAGTCCCACTGACTGCCACTTGCCGGCCTGCTCTCCACGGCTGGACCAGCCAAACCCAGGGCTGACCTGCCCCTGCTGAAGCATGCGCCCACCAAGCTGTTGGACAGCACCCAGGGGCTCCGGGGGGCAGGGTACTCAGGTCCTGGGGCTGGGATCCTTACAGCTAGGTCGGGGGGAGCTGCTCGGGGGTGGGGGCCAGGGGTGGGAAGCCCAGCTGGAGTCCCCTTACCCTGAATTCAGCTGTAACCACATCCAGCCAGCCTCAGCTCTGTCCTCCCAATCTCCCGCCCCAAGCTGGAGTCTCCAGGTGGGCGAGGAGGCTTCTAAGGGGAGACACGGCCCTCACCCCACCCACGCCTCTGATGCTTCTCAAGATATTCGAGACCCTCTGGACAGTGAAGGCTCCAGGGGCCTCAGCGGGAGGACCCTACCCCCACCCAGTGAACGACTCCCGGGTGGAGCTCCCCTCCCCAGCAGGAACCGGAGAAGGAAAGAGAGGCGCCACCCCTCCCGCCCGCCAGGATGGGCCGTGAAGTCCCCATCGCCCCTGGCCCGGGCTGGGAGCTGACCCGGGTCCTGGCGCGCCCAGGCGGCGCAGCCTCCGCAGCCCAAGGCGGCCAAGCCAGGGATCGGGTGGGGGCCGCGCGCTCCGGGAGGGTGGTCGTCCGGGCGGGCTCCCCACTCACCCCTCGTGTCCCTTGCAGAGGAAGAAGAGAACGCGCCAGGCATGCGCCCCGGCCAGTAGCAGCGACAGGAGGCCAGCGAGCAGGCCGAAGCGGCAGGCGGCCGGCGGGCCCCACTCCTGCACGGTGAAGCGCTCGCGCTCCTGCACCGTGAGGTTGGCGCTGAGCCACATGCCCTCGGTGAAGAGCGGGCAGCGGCCGCCGAAGTCGCGCCCGTTCGCGGACAGCGGCACCACCACGGCGAAGCTGAACAGAAACGCCAGCACGGAAAACACGCACTGCGCCAGGAGGGCGCTGCTGGGCGCCATGGTCGGGCCCCGGGAGCCGGTGCGGGGCCGGGCGCGGGGCGCGCGGGAGGCTGCGCAGTGGCGGCGCCCGGGACGCGTGCGCGGCGGCCGCACCGGCGGTCAGCCCCGCGGACAGCCCCGCACGTGCGCGCCCACGCGGGGAGATCGCCCGAGCTCCGGAGGGTGGGTGGCGAGCGGGACACAGCTGGGACATGCGGCCGGGAGCGTGCCGGCCCAGCTCAGGGGGTGTGCGGGCACGGCCTGGGTTGAGGTTTGTGCGGGGCAGGTGCTTGTTGGGCGGGACCCGGCCCTCGAAGGGGCGTTTCGCCTGCGTTCCCAGAGCAGGAGGCAGCAGCTGCTGCTTCTGCTCAGATGGCACGGAGAAGTGAGCTCCTTGTCGAGGCGTGCTGCGTGTCCCATTGAGCAATGCGGACCCGCGTGGCACAGAAACGGGACTCTGCCCCGCGCCACCACCCACTTGGTCAGGCAGGCTCAGGGCTGACAGCTGGGAGCCAGTGCTGGGTGAGCAAGGCCTCGCCCCATCTGCACACGCGTGTGCTCTAGCCTCTCTTCCAAAGGTGCCCCCCTGCAGAATAGTTGGCGGCTCCTGGTCTCTCATCTCCAGCGTGGGGGGACCGCACCAGTTGCCCCAACCAGAAGTTTTACAAGGAGGACTGGGGAGAGAGCAGGACGCAGCAGGGCCCACTTGGCACGCTTCAGCCAGTGGTCGGGATGCTTGTCCTGCGGTGGAGCTCCTGCGCTCCAGTCCCCGCTCCCAGGAGGGAGCTGGGGACCACCCAAAGCCAGGGGCGCTGCTGCCCACGTGGCCTGGCGGAGGTGCGGCTGCAGGGCTCAGCCTCGCCTGCCCTGGCTGTGGAATGACGGGAGTGAACCCACAGATGAGCGCTCACTCTCGCTTCCCCGTCCGTCCCTCTCTGTCCAACTGACCCCTTAACAGTATACACGAGGAGGATAATGAATGTTGATGAACACAGCGCCCGTGGAAATGCTGTCTAAGCATCGCTCTGCCATCCTGGCTCCAGAGAGAGTGGGGGACACACAGACTGCACCCTAGCATCGCCCTGTTCAGGCCACACTCGGTGACCCTGCCCAATCCCTTCCCACACCCGGTACCACCTCCTCCCTCTGTGGGCTCCACGCCAGGCAGGGGCGCTCCCACAGCACAGGAAGCAGAGTCCCCGCGGCTCCGGAGGCAGCAAGGGACGAGCAAGCAGGGCTCAGAGGCACCTGGCCAAGCACACTCGTCCTGGACATAAGCTGCCTCACCTGCTATTTAGCCAGGGACGCACAGACCCCGGGACTGAGTGGGGAACTCGGTGCAGGGTGTACAGGGAGCCCTCCTTTCCAGGCACAAGGCCATAGACGCCACCTGCAGGCGTGGAGTTCACACACAGGCAGGAGGCTGGAAAAAGTGCAAATTATGCCGGGCAGCGTGCAGACAAGCCACTAATTGCTTCTAGCAGAAATATTTATGCAAATAGCCCACAGGTCTTCAGCTCATGTCTCTGCATTTACATTCTCTGTCGCCAGCCCTCCCATCTTCCCTGAGCAGGGGAGGCAGCCCTCCCTGCCAGCCCTACCGCTCCTGGCTGACACCCTTCCTGGGCACCCTGAGGCTCCCCATGGGCTCCATCAGCCAAGGAAGTGGAGCCACCAACCAAGAGGCAGCTGAGACTGCGAGCCAGTGGGGTGGGAGGAAGGAGGAGCCAAGTTGTAGAGCCTGGGAGACGCAGAACCACCAACACCGGGGATAGGAGGAATACTCGGCTGTGGCAGTCCCATCGAGGGGCACCTCTCTACAGGCCCAGAAACTGCCTGGGGTGGCAGAGTGCTCCTCACCCAACTCCCCAAGGCACCGAGGGACCCAGGAGATCTGTCTGCCAGTTGAGGATGGGGCTGGGTCTGCTGGTCCTCTCCCTAGCTCAGAAAGGCAGCGAGAGGAGCCCAGGCCCAGGTGGTCATGCAGGGATGGAGGCCTCTTGGGACACCACAGGCACATGTGAAGGCCACGGTGACACCCCTGGGGGCCGCAGCGTGGCAGACCTGTGCTGAGCTGGAATCTCCTGGCTGCTGCAGGAATTGGGCAACAAAGATCCTCACGTGTGTGTGTGTGTGTGTGTGTGTGTGTGTGTGTGTGTGCACCTCACAGATAAATGGATACAGATGCAAGAGGGACAGAGGATGAGAGGTAGCCCCAGGCCGGAAAAGTAGATGGGAAGAAACCAGAATAGCCCTGGGTATACAGGAGCAGCACCACAGCCTGCTCCGAGGATGGTGAGAGCCAGAGCCCACACCCAGGCTGGCCGTGGCCGTGTGGACGCCTAGGGCCGTCAGTGGAGGAAGACCCCAGGGACAGCCTGGTCTCCCGCAGGTGCAGGGTCCCAAGGTTTGGGGCCGTTCTCAACTGCTTTCCCAGGCCATGAGCAGGGAGCTGGATGGGAAGTGAGGCAGCTGGGACTTGAACCAGCACCCACGTCTCTCGGAATCTGCCTGGCTTGGAAGGACAAAGAGGACTGGTTCTCTCCCCACCCCACATGCCTGGGCCCAGGACCTGCTGCTGATTGGGCTCAGGTTTTAGCCAGAAGGAGGGGGCAGTGTGGGTACCTTCTGGACAGGGCTCTGGGTGCCCAGGCTGCAAGGACCGCGGCTACCACACCTGTACACGGCACCCCAGTCAGAGCAGGTCCACTGCCCCTGCTGTGCCCGAGGTCTGAGCCTCCTAACCCCAGTCCCTCCCTGGAACCCACTCCCAGGCACCGCCAGGGCAGCCTCATGCAGGAAGAGACGAATCTGTAACTGGCATGAATATTGACAAGGCTCCTGATGTGGCTGCAGAGAAAACACACATGGTGCTCCCCCACTGATGGGGAGCAACATCCACTCTCCTGGACCCTGGACAGCAGGGGCCACACCTTGACTGCAAGTCGCCCACTACATGAGTCACCACCTCGGTCTGACTGAGCCGGCCACTCTCCAGCAAGCCCTCTGGGACGTTACCTCAAACTGGCCGGTTGTCCAGGCTGGTGACCCCAGGCCAGTCTCAACTTTGTCCATGGAGCTCTGGTGCCCCCGTGTGGCCAGCAGCAGCAATCCCTCAGCCCACGCAGTGGAAGCACCTGGTTCCACCTGCGGCCCCCAGGCTGCACCTGCTCTTGCCAGTGCAAGAGGCCAGGGGTCTTTCTGCAGGATCTGGGTCCCCCTCATCCAGTCGTATGACTTGGGGACTGAAGTTACAGAGTCAGGGCAGACTTCCCTGCCAGGGTCCATGGGAGACCCTGGCCCACGGTTAAGGGGATGGCATCAGAGGGAAGGGCTGCTGAGCAGGACCTGCTTAGGGACCCGCCCTCACCCCACTGCTGAGTGCAGCCCCTGGCGCTGTGTGAGCGGCTTTGTGGATGCAGCGTGGACACCACGAACCCCATCCTGACCTCTACTCCATGTGGGCGTCGTCTAGATTCCTGGTGCCCTCCAGGCCGGGCAACTGCATCCATAGCAGTGGGATGCAGGGAAGGCTGCCGCGGTACCTCTGCCCCCAGAGTGGCCAGAGCTCAGGCAGGGAGCAGGACGGGACTGCCCACCGAGGTCGGGCCAGAACCATGCTCCCAGGACGTGGCCGTGGGGAACCCAGCCGCCGAGCAGAAGCGACGCGAGACTGTCCTGTCAGTAGCTGGCTCAAAGAAGACATGGAGAGCTCAGTGGCCACCGCTGTCTGCCTCCCAGACCCTGCTCGTGGCCACTGGCCCTTGTACTGGCTCTGAGAAGGGGCACACTCAGCCCCGGCCTCCCCGGGAGCCCCAGCTGGACCCCAGGGGTAGCCCCAGCCGGACCCCTGGCTCTCCACACCCCTGCACCTTTTTTGGGGGGGGCGGATTCTACTCGGAGTGGAATGGTCAGCGAGGGCACAGGTACTGGACCCAGGGGTCCCCTGCTAAGAAGTCAGGCCTAGCTCTGCCCACCACTCCCTCCCTCAGCTGCCCGCCCTCCATGGGCTGCTCCCTGGATGACCGAAGCTGGCTGTTTGCTTACCATGCACCCTTCTCTTTTGGAGGCACCTCTGGGGGACAGCAGGTGGCCACATGGGAGAAGCCACATCCCCCAGGAACGTGGCCCCTGTGCAGAAGGATCCTCCCAGGCAGTAGAGCCACTCACCAGCCCCCAGGACTTGGACACTGTCTGGGCAGATGCTGGCCCGCTGATGGCCTGAGGTCAGGACCTGGCCCTGCCCTGCGGGAGGCGGCACCCATGCAGGAACTCCTGGCCCCTGACGCGGCTGACCCTGCCCCGCCCTCCTGCTGTGGGTGTTTGGGGAGTGGACAGCACAAGGAGGGCTCTGTCTCCTCTGAAGTTAAATTACAGCACAGCACACCCTGGGCTCCTCCTGCTCCTCCACGCCACAATGCCTACATGTGTGGGCACTCTAATGTGGTCCCTTGGTGACGAGACTGGTCAAACCCTACCCCAGCACCAAGGAGAGCTGCCCGAGTGGCTCACCTGCCACTCCCCCTCTGGGACTGTGGGTTCCCGCCCACCCAGGACGGGTCAGTGGGCGGCCCCAACTTGAGGACCAAGCCCAAAACCAAGCACTGCAGGACAAGACAGTGATGCCTCCTCTCATGGCCAGAGGGCGGGCACACTGGTGAACAACCCACTCCAGGCGCAGGGCTCCTGGTCCTGCCCCCCTTATTCCAGCCCTGTGAGGCACAGAGGGTGGGTCTTCACAGGGCTACTGCCCAGGCACAGAAACCCTGGGCAGCAGGAGGCACGGGCCCACAGACGGGTATGAGCTGTGACAGCTGCACCCCCTTCCGATGCAGGGCAATCACTGTCCCTCGCTCACATCCAGGCCCTGGCTCCAACCACAGACCTTGCTTGGGGGTGGCTGGGCCGAGCGTTCCAGTACCAGTGGGGTTCCTGCTGGCTGTGGAGGAGCTCCCCGGGAAGGGCTGGGGGGACATGGGACAGACCCTGTCACCAGCCTGTCGTTGGATCACGTTGACTGT